AGTCTTGGCCTTGGTCGTTTTGGTCGCTACCTTGACCCTGAGTATAGGTGAGTGGTACTACGGCTTTCGAGTACTCCTATGGGAAATGGACAGGTGGCCGCTACCTGAGGGCACTATACTGTTGTCGGTGGTGGTCAGAGGTGTTCTTTGTGATGACGATAATGTGCCTGCTGATGCGCTTCTGGATATGGTCAGAGCTGGAGCATGTAAGAGAATTGGGCGCAGTATAATGAGGAGAAGTTGTGGTAAGGGACGCGATGGAGTTACCCGATCGCTGAGAGTCTCCTCGAGGAGGAGGAGGAAAGTCATGGTCCCACCGTGAAGGGGAGGTTTCTGGTCCCGCATGGTTCGACAGCTCGGGCATCTGATATTGGGAAGGTCAGCTATGAGTGGAGGAGTAGTAGTGCAACGTATGTTGTGTTGTTTTAGGCGTTTATGGTGTTGGTAGTTCGAGAATGTTTGCCGAGTATACTGCCTCGTGAGGCGCATCTCACAGATTCGGTAATAATGTTTCATTATAGTCGTTGCCTTGAATGACGCAGTAGGCAAGTACTCAAAGGGAAGGCATGCATAGAATCAGTTGCTGATCCTCATAAGGTGTAGGTGGTTCCTGCCGATGTTCGGGAAGCAATACTGGAGGCTACTGTGGGGAAGGAGCTCCCCAGTGGGTGGTTATATGACGGCACCTTCTACCTGGACATGAACTCTGGGAGGAGTGAGGTTCTCTCAGGCCTATCGTGCGATGCCGATGCTGCGTGTGTATTTTCTCAGGGAGCAAGTTGCATCCTGAGATGTCGGCGCGGTTGGCATCATACGTGGCTGCGAGACAAACTGAGGTGAAATTCTCGACGCTATCCGCAACTTTGTGGTCAGGAGATGTGTCGGTGGATATTTGCGCATTGCTAACACGTTTTCGTTCATAGTCGTTCCAGGTGGACGCACACAATGCGGCAGTGGTGACGTTGAGAAGAGCTGCTATGGTGAATTGATCGCATGTTGGTGATGATGATGTTGTTAACCCCTTCTCGTGACACATTATATGTGTTGGCTTTGGACTAGGCATGTGGGATGTGTATTGGTTCCTCCTCAGCAGTCAGTTCTAGCCATGACAGAATCGTACCATAAATCGCTCACCTTTCAGTAGACGAAGGAATGTCCCTAGCTGGCCAGCTAGGGTGAGGTCCAGCAAGGCCTGGCTGAGGAAACACTCCTGATAACATGATGTAACCGATTGAACATGGTGATGATAAATTTGGGCAAGGATGATGAAGTGTTACCATTGGCTTCTGTAGAGGATAGTGTTGTTGCTCGTCGTCATCATGTTGTGCGACATGAGATGAATAATGAGTAGAGTGCAGACTAGTGATGGTAGACACCACTGTTGTTACTACTATGGTGTTGAGTCTATCACTTTGATGGTATATGAGATTCTCTGCCGATATGTGCTGACCTTCTGGAAGGGGCGACTAGTGGGCGTCGATTTGTTTCGACTTGCTGCCGAACAGCTCTCCGTTCGGTTTGAACTAGCTCCACAAGTTGAGCTTCCTTTAACCCTACATTCGTGTTGTCATCTCTCTAGGGAGAGAGACAGGGAGACCTCTGGCGCCCTATGTCAAAGGTCTCCCGTACTGGCACCTCCCTAACGGGCTGGTGATTGGGTGTCATTTTTGGGCGAGCGACATTTGTGATGAATCGGCGCCAGATTGTAAATTCCTCAATTGCTCCCTCCCTCGTCAGTACCTGTAGGGTTTTCAGTAAGGTCATTAGCGATTCTATATCTTGGGCCGCTATATAGGGAGATAAGTCTCACAGCTTGGAAGTCCCCTCGCTACTAAACCGTTTGAGTTGAGCATGGATTTCGTCGGCCGTCAAATTGTGGCACGTCCTCTCTGGGACAGCTCGAAATTCCTTGGTGATTGCGGGGTGGACCGGGCCTCTTGGTACTAGCATGGTAGTAGTGGTGGTGGTAGTAGTAGTAGTAGTAGTAGTGGTGGTGGAGTTCCTGTAGTGAGATAGAATTGCCTTTTGTGAGGTTGCTATGATGGAACCATTGTAAACTTACATCACTTCCTATTGCTCTCCTCAGAGGCTACTATTCTTGCGGTGATATGCTTGCTCGTCGTACGCGTCGTCATCTTTTCAATGTATCAGCGTTATCCAGCACTCCAACTCCTACTGTTGCCAGACCACCTACATATCACGGCATCGAGCCATCCTCTGTAGAGGTGAATACTCACGGCCCGACGTGAACAGGACATCTCCCTCTCAGCTGGTGAGAGCCCCGAGGCTATCGGTATTGCCCCCACTGGACACCCTAGAGTTTGGGAAGAGGTTCTCGGATCACATGCTCGAGATTGACTACAATATGGCTACTGGATGGGCGAAGGTAGTGGGAATAATTTCGCGGTGCAGCGGTCATGGTCACGGGTTTAGCCACGGATAATGCCGATGGGGGACATCAAGGTGCATCCAGCATCTCCTGTATTGCATTATGCAGTAGGCTGCTTCGAAGGACTGAAAGTGTAGATGTTATTATTATTTTCATACCATATTGTTCGCAAATCATGGAGCGCAGATATAGAGTCCCAGAGGGCATCAGAGAGTTCCGTCTGTCTAGTAACATTGCGCGTTTCGCCAATTCCATCAGGCGCAGTGCTATGGCTGACCTCACCAAACAGGATGAGAAAGCTATGTAGTGTCGCGAGGGTGTCCATAATGTCCACCAGTTTGTAGAGTAGATACGACCTCATCAGGGAGCTGGTATTAATTGACGAGCACATGATACCGTCAGAGCCGGGTTATTCCCTCTATATTCGCCCGACATGCATCGGAACCCAGGTAGGCCTGGTCATAGTCACTGGCCCGGTCATGGTTCAATCTTGGCAGGCCATATTAGGAGTATTGCCCCCTACTGATGCCAAGTTGTTCGTCATTAGCAGTCCTGTCGGACCGTAGTGTTGTCGAGGCTGCTGCTGTTGATGATGTGATGCCTCGTGGGATGATAGGTATTATAAGTCGGGCTTCAAACCAGTGTCGCTACTAGCATCTAGCAAGGCTGTTAGGGCTTGGCCTGGAGGTAACGTTATTATGGACGATCGTAGTACCGCGCCATATTTCCACTAGGCACGGGTGCTCAGAAGGTCGGGGGTAATTATGGACCAACGCTCTTACCGCTGCGGGAAGCAGTGAGTGTGCTAATGCTGAGCACGTCGTGTTAGCAGCGGTTGTGTTATGCAGATTGAGATGGGGTATTCACAAATACTATGGCTACTCCCGACCGACTCGTCGGCTGAGGACTACTATGTAACGGAGGTTGGTAATAGCTGGCTGGACAGGGTTCAGTGGTGTGGATGCACCTTGCGTTATGAAGGTACTATGAACCTGTTCTTGGTGTTCCGTACTCCTGATGGTATGGAAGTGGTGACACCACCGTTGAGTGATGTGATACTGCCAGGAATCACCAGAGACTCGGTATGGACTATAAAGTCTGTTTGCTGGGAATTGAACCTGCTACCTCTGGGATGAGAGTGCAGCGCCCTACCGCTTGAAGGGTTTATTGATAGTGTTCTCAGGCGCTTCAAGTTTTGAGGTCCGAGGGGGCTCCCCGTGGCATAGAGGTATCAGAGAGGCATGTAACCATAAACGAGGTCATCGCTGCCTATGAGGCCGGCAATCTCCTCGAAGTGTTTGGTAATAGCTTCTATTCGACCGTGGGGCGGCGACGTTTATTCATATCGGCTGCTCAAAGTCTGCATCCGAGATTAGAGTATACTGTCTAGGAGGTTGATATGTCTTCCTCGTGATGTGGTAGGTACGGGGACAGCAGCTATTGTGTGTCCAGTTGATTTGATCAACTTCAAAGGAAAGGATATTCATGTATGACGCTCCTCGACGCTCGTCCTCTACACTTGATTCCATAGTAGATACCAGTGGACAACCAAGTGGGCACCGGGCCTATCTGCAAGTTTGTTTTGGACACCGTACGTGGTAGAGGCATGTGTGAATCTCCTTCTGGTGGCGACTCAGATTCAAGAAGCTCAGAGAGGATTAGGAGTGTTTGGTGAGAAGTGGTCAACACTGTGGACCCAGGATATGCGTATAACGCAAAGTCCTGTAAATTTCTAGTAGTACCATAGCGCTTCGTCCGCCGCCACGTTTAGTTGCCTTCCATCCTCCCAGGTACGCCGATGTTTGCCACCAATACACCCAAGCGTAATTTTTTAACGTCCTGTACTATTCTCATTATTAATAGTCTATGTTGGTCTAATGCGAATGCCGATCTCGCATCCTCATCATCATCATTGCTCCTCCTCCTGCTGCTGCTACGCCATCGGCGGCGATACCGCAGGCTACAGTACCTGAGTTTTCTAACTTGAGCTCCATTTTCGAGGGTGGCCACTACCGTGTTGCGTATGGATAGTCTAATCGATACAACGTCGTGCATCTAGACGCTCTCAGAGGTGTTATGACGGTTTTCCAATATTCTTCGAGTTAACGAAATACCGTGTGATCTCACGTCGAACGTAAGATTAGTAACAGTTTAAAGATCTATAGAAGTTCAATCGTAGCAGACTAACATACTAGCTTGACGCTAGATACTCAGCTCCATCACAGTTATAAGACAACTATGGAGGACGACAATCTTTTGTGTCTTCGAGTGACCGCAACATTCTCACTTCTCATTATCAAAATCCGTGGAATCCAACACAGTGTAAACGCCACCATCGTTGAGTGACGTAGCAATAACCAGAGATTCGGTATGGACTTCGCATAATATCCATCTACCGGGATTTGAACCTGCGACTATTGAGGATTAGGAGGCATCGCAGTGGATCTTATGTGTACCGTGTTGTTGTTTATGCGTGCTCCTCCAATGGTTGATGGGACGTATGCGTTCTGTATAAGAAAAGGAACCCTCGTTAGTTTCCCCGATTGAATACTTGTTTACTTCTATTGTCAATCATCACAAGACCTTAGGTAATATCTATGGTAGAGTTTTTACTACTATAATGTCCAGCCGCCAGCCTCTGGTCGCTTTGGCTGTCGAGGAGAGGTCCGCCACCACACCTGTTGGTGGTGGGCCGTCAGTCTGTGCGTCCTATTCTCACCACCGAGCGAAGACTGTTATCCTCATCTGCTTCCTCATTGGCTGTCTCCTGGCGGCGGCAGGAACGACGTGGGAATATCCTTTATATCTTCAAGGTGACACCTAAAACGAAGCTCTGCTAGAGCTTCGTTTTT